TACAAAGTAAATCTTTTTAAAAGTACATTTTTCCCGAGGCCTATGTGGCGCATTGGTTGGGCGTCAGACTTTTGGTTTCAGCTCAGGTCATGATCTCAGGGTAGTGAGACGGAGCTGCCTGCTTTGGGCTCTGTGCTTGGGATTCTCTCTCCCTTTCCCTCTGCATCCCCCAACCTGCCCTGCACCACCGGCATGTGTGTGATCTCTCCCTAAAATAAAATAAAATTTAAAAGTACATTTTTCAAGAGGTAAAGAAGTAGATAAGATAGTGAATTGTCATGAAACAAAGAGATGTAGTTTTTTGGAGCTTTATCTTGTGTTCTCAGGTCCCTAGTATGATTTTGTGTTTTTTTATTATTATTATTATTTTTAGCTCTAATAGTTCTCCACAGGATTCTCATTCCCAGTAGCTTTGTCACCTCCCACTCCATTTCAGAGGTGATAGTCGATGCCACTCTGAAGAATCCAGGCATTTGACTCATTTCTAAACTTTCTTTTCAGTTTCAAATCTCCTAAAGCTGTAACTCAGCTGTCAGCCTGTGGAAATGGATCATTCAGCACCCTTGCAACTTTCCCAGTGACTTCCTAAGGACTTAGCTGTTCTATAGCTGATGTCTTCTGTGTCTGATCACTTGGGAACCCAGTGGACTAGAGGCCTCTTGCACCCTCCGGTAGTTGAACTGTCCTTTTTAGTTTCACCAGGAATATTCTGGACTTCATCACTTCCTTCCATTCTGGCCTGATATTTGAAAGCCACAGTGGAGTTACTAAGGGCCAGATGTCCAGTGCTTTTCTAAAAATCAAGTCACTGTGAACCAGTGATGTGAAAACAGTCATAATCTATAATAGTTCCCAGCTACATAGCTTGGTACTCCTCATTTTTAGTGTGGTGAATATAATAAATGTAGGTAAGTGTTGCATTTATCATTTTATCTTTTTTTTTTTAACATTTGCTTTAGAATTGTACTTCTCTTTCTTTGAATTATTTCCTATCTTTTGGGGCCAGGATCTTGTTTAGATCTTAAATTATTATTCATGGCTCTGAAGACATTTCTGGATAAAAGTCATTTTATCTCACCAGAGAAAAACACTGTCCCCTCCACATGGAAACAATAGCAGAGTTGGTAGACCTTTGGTACTCAGAAATTTAACATTTCTTGTAAAAGTACCTCAGAGGTCTGTGCAGAAAGCATATTATATTGAAGGAATGGAGCTTAATCTCAGGCACAGGGTGGGAAGAAGACACATGTAATGAGAAGAAGGTGTGGCCTGTGTGAGATGGTACGTTTCTGGGATGCCTGGGGAAATAGGAAGCAAACTTGACCCTGCCATCTTCCTTATCACTTTGTCACTCAAAGTAAAGATGGAGAGGGGTGAGGTAATGGGGACAGTGCTAGGTTTGTAGGTGTTTGGGTTGGTGAGGGTAGGGACAGCAGGAAGGCTTGGCACCAGATTCCACTCACAAGGAGATGGGGAGAGGGATGAGGTGCCCAGTCTCCACTCATAATTTGGCTTTGTTCTTGTTTTTGTATCATTGAGGCCAAGAGAAATAAAGAATGTTAATGAATTTTTAAGTATACATTATTGAAATTAACATCATTGTTATATATTATCATGGTTTTTACAAATTTGGGGATTTGGGGTGCCTGGGTGGCTCAGTCGTTAAGTGTCTGCCTTTGGCTCAGGTCATGATCCCAGGGTCCTGGGATCAGGCTCCCTGCTCCGTGGGAAGCCTGCTTCTCCCTCTCCCACTCCCCCTGCTTGTGTTCCTGCTCTCACTGTCTCTCTCTCTGTCAAATAAATAAATAAAATCTTAAAAACAACAACAAAAACAAATTTGGGGATTTGGGAAGCTCTCTGGGAAAATTCCTCTCAAAAGTCAAAGGTGTAGACTCTAGGTCCACATCAAACCCAGTTATCGCCCTCTCCATTGTCACTCTCCCCAGCAACCCACATGGCCCAAGTCATCATTATCTTCATGGTAATCACCTCATAATCGGTCTCCCTGCATCCACTCTAACAGCTCCTGCCCTCAATTCCAGTCCATTCTCTTCAGAGATCTGTTTTTTAATTGAAATCTTCATTGAGATAATTGTAGATTCACATGCAGTTGGAAGAAATAATACAAAGAGATCCTATATACCTTTTGCCCAGTTTCACCAAATGGTAATATCTTGCAAAGTTATAGTATAGTATTACAACCAGGATATTGACATTAATATAATCCTCCAGACTTACTCAGATTTCCCCAGTTTTACTCATATTCACTGTGTGTGTGTGTGTGTGTGTGTGTGTGTGTGTGTGTGTGTGTAGTTCTATATAATTTCATCTTATATGTGTCCACCATCACAGTCAAGATCAAGAAGAGTTCCATCACAAGGATCCCTCTTGTTGCCCTTTTATTAACCACACCCACCTCCCTCCTTCCCTCCATCCTCCTTCCCTAACTCTAGGCAACCACTAATCTGCTCTTTATTCCTAAAAGTTTTTCATTTCAAGAATATTACATAAAGAGAATCATATAACATGTAACCTTTTGGCTTTTTTTTTTTTTTTTTTGACAGAGAGAGACATAGTGAGAGCAGGAACACAAGCAGTGGGAGTGGGAGAGGGAGAAGCAGGCTTCCCGCGGAGTGGGCAGCCCGATGTGGGACTCGATCCCAGGACCCTGGGATCATGACCTGAGCCGAAGGCAGATGCTTAACAACTGAGCCACCCAGGTGCCCCCCCTTTTGGCTTTTTTTACTCAACATAATTCTTTGGATATTCATCCAAGTTTTTGTGTGTGTCAGTAATTTATTCTTCTTCACTGTTGAGTAGTATTCCATGGTATGTTGGATGTACCTCAGTTTGTTTAACCAGTCATCCATTGAAGGACATCTGAGCTGTTTCCAGTTTGGGGCTATTACAGATGAAGCTGCTATGAACATTCGTGCATAGGTTTTATGTGAGCATAAGTTTTCATTTCTTTGGAATAAATGCCCAAGAATAAAATTGCTATCATATGGTTGCAGGTCGCGTTTTTTAAGAAGCTGCCAAACTGTTTTTCCAGAGTGGTTATACCATTGTACATACCCTTCAACAGTGTATGAGTGATCCAGTTTCTCCACATCCTCATCAGCATTTAGTGTTGTAACTAGTATTTTAGCCATTGTGTAATAACAGGTGTGTAGTAACACTAACACCTCCTTGTGGTTTTATTTTTTTATTTTTCCATTTTTAAAGATTTTTGTTTATTTGACAGAGAGAAACACAGCAAGAGAGGGAACACAAGAAGGGGAAGTGAGAGAGGGAGAAGCAGGCTTCCCACTGAGCAGGGAGCCCGATGCGGGGCTCGATCCCAGGACCCTGGGATCATGACCTGAGCCGAAGGCAGACGCTTAATGACTGAGCCACCTAGGGGCCCCCTCCTTGTGGTTTTAATTTACATTTCCCTAATGGTTAATGATTTTGAACATCTTCTAAGTTCTTATGTCAGGTAGTCAGCCTCTGCGCACTGTCCCAGCCTCTCTTCCAGCAGTTCCACCTGTACTTTCTAGGTGGCAGGACATCAGGACAGGAGGCTGGAGGCTCTGGATTACGTGAGCTTTGTGTGTCAAATGCTAAAGGAGCTTTGAAAGGTCTAGGGAACCTCATGATCAGATTTGTATTTTTGATTGACTGCATTGGCAGCACTGTGGAGGACAGACAGGAAAACCGTGAGCCAGGAGGCTATTACAGAGAGCGACATAACAAAGGGGAGAGAGGAAGAGGAGGTAGTTTTGACCGATGTAGGGTAATGTGTTTCAGTAGCCCTCAGTGACATGGAGCATCAGAAAATTGAAATTGTTGAGACACCCAAGCTACTTTTGCTGTAGGCTTGTGTTGGAAATTATGATCACCATGGATCACTTTGCATCCTTAGTTCAATGCTATGGATGAACAATAAAGTTGGAAAATGCTGATACTATAATCCTATAAGATCTAGGGAGGCCCTAATACAAGACTAATTTTTCAATGGAAACAGCATTAAAATGAACTATAGAATTCTGCTCCTTGGGCAACTGGGTTAATCTCAATTCAACCCCCTCATTTTGTTGTGGCCAGAAAAGTTAACTAATTTGTCCAAGATAACCCAATTAGATAGAAACAGACTTGTAAGTATTTTGTCCTCTCAAAAAGGAGGATGTGAGTGTGTGTTTTGAAAGTCTAAGTTTAATGGAAGGGGCAGCAGGTGGGGGTTTGCGTAAACCTCATACATATCTTCTCTAGCAATTCCATTACCTCCTGTGAGCTTAGTGCGCGGGACATGGTAGCATGAGAGTTCATTGGCATTGACATGACCTACAGTTTTACTGGGCAAACAATATGTGAAAAGTGGCCGGAACACACATGGGCCACTGTTTGGCATTCATCAGAAAGAAGAACCACCAGAGGATTCACGGAAGCCTAGAACCCTGCAGAAAGCCTGAAGCTAACTGGGAACTTGGAGCTGCTCCAAGGCCAGCCGGGCAAAGAGCTGTTAGGAATAAAGCTGTTCTTTTTGGCAAAGAATACACAGTATCTTGGAAAGTCTCAGTGGCAGGGATGCCAACAGCAACTGGACTCTCCAGTAGTTCCATTCAGCTGGGAAGTACAGTGAATACACAGAATCCAAAATGATTTCTATAGGTTGGGATGATCAGTTACACTTAACATATTAGCAATGATTAAGTCATTTTTAAAACACACTACGAGTAACAACAGCAAAACCAAAAAACTGTTCAAGGACAGATGAGAAAGATGTGGTCAACTAGAATCATATGTAAAAAAGACTGAGGAGTTTTGATTATCTCAGTATGAGTCAGCCATGTACAGTGAGAGTGCTGAAAGTTAATATGGATTTGAGCTGCATTCAGAGTGTTCTGGTATTCAGGATTCAGGAATTGACAGTTCTTTCCCACAGTATGTTGAGAAAAGGGGGATTCTATGTTTAAATTACAAACATGGCTAACATTTACTAAATGCTTACTGTCTATCAGATTATGAGCTAAATGCTTCACGTGATCCTCTGACTCCACACAACAAGCCTTGGGTCATGTCCTATTGCTGCCTCCATCCCACCCAGTGTGTGTCGGTAAGGACATCCTCCCTCCACAGAGTTGGACCTGTATGTGATCGGGCTCGGGGCAGGTCCAGGTCTGACCAAACTCTTAGCTGGGAACAGATTCCTGAAAGCTCACTATTGAAAAACAGCAGGCCAGTCTTCAGCCATACCACCCTGAATGCTTAGATTGTGTCTGAAAAACAGCAGGCCCGAAGGTATGATACAGGGAGCTGGGTTGGGAGGATCTAGGAAATCTAACACATGAGAAACGGCTGGAAGAACAAACACTGTTCAACAAGAAAAAGAGAAATAGTTGAAGCACTTGAGTCAGAGAAGAGGAGTGTGATCATGCAGCACAGCCCCGGGAGACAGAATAGAAGCAGTGAGGTAAAAGAACAGGGAGGTGAATTGTTCTATTTAAAGAGAAATTTTCTATATAAAATAATTATGGATGTCTAAAAATGGAATGGCTGCCTTCTGAGGCACTGAGTACCCACCTCTTCAGGGACTCCAGCAGGAAGCAAACGACCATCTAATGGGAAGAGGCCCCTGGGCCCTCAATACAAAAGCAGTTGAGGGTCTAGATTTGCTCTTCTCTGCGGGCTTCACAGAGCATCATTTTTTTAAACAGTGAAAATATGTCTACCTGACAATATTCTGTGATCTGGCACTTTATCCAGTGAAGAGAAAAGCTCAGGTCAGCTCTTCAACAGCAGGAAATACTAGTAATAGTTGAGTATAGGAAAATTCAGTGATGGCAGAGAAAATGGAGAGCAAAGAATAATTTCTTTTCAGAAGAGGACAGGAAGTTAACACCCAAGTTAAGCATCGAAATGAAGATCTTGTATCTCCATTGTTGCTTTGATAAAAATATAATAAATGTATGACATTGTAAAATAGTTTCTTGAAAGCAAATTTAAATAAGGGACTTCTCCCAGCTTCTTTTAAAAAGATTTAGCAGATGGGATGCCTGGGTGGCTCAGTCATTAAGCGTCTGCCTTCGGCTCAGGTCATGATCCCAGGGTCCTGGGATCGAGCCCCACATCGGGCTCCGTGCTCAGCAGGAAGCCTGCTTTTACCTCTCCCACTCCTCCTGCTTGTGTTCCCTCTCTTGCTGGGTCTCTCCCTGTCAAATAAATAAATAAAATCTTAAAAAAAAAAAAAAGATTTAGCAGAGCCTTCATTTAATGATATATTAGGATAACGTACAATATCACGTACATTCTACGGGTGGCCTTTGGCTCTCTTTGCCTTACTAATCCCAGAACAAACAAAAACCTCATGACTAGGGGTAATATTTCCACTTCTCAGCAAACTTTCTTGAAAGAATAGATATTGATAAGAAGAGCACTTAACCATTTTACTGCCCATTGTAAAATAACCAAAGTAAATTAACAATTAAAACTCAGAATTATTCATGGCAAGGTTGACAAGCATTCTTTTTTCAGTGGTGGGGTTCTTTTTTCATTATTCCAGAAGTCTGATGGCAGACAGGTAGTATTATTTTAACTATCAGTGTAAGCTCATAATGAAATTAATCACTCTTGAGTATTCTTTGATGTATGTTCATTTAGAAGTAAGAATAATTCTGTTAGTTATAAAGTTTTTCATAATTCCAAGTTTGGGCTCAAAGCAAGGATAACCTTGCAGTCAAATATGAGAAGAGTGAGAATTTGGTTTGTAACTAGCCGTCTCAAAAATTTTCTAAGGATGAAATTTCATAGTTCAACACACTCAGAGATTGCTTGTATAAACTCAAATCAAACAAAAGCTTAAGAATATTTTGCCAAGGGGGCGCCTGGGTGGCTCAGTTGGTTAAGCGACTGCCTTCAGCTCAGGTCATGATCCTGGAGTCCCGGGATCAAGTCCCGCATCGGGCTCCCTGCTCAGCAGTGAGTCTGCTTCTCCCTTGGACCCTCCCCCCTCTCATGGTCTCTCTCTCTCTCTCATTCTCTCTCTCAAATCAATAAACAAAATCTTTAAAAAAAAAAAAAAAGAATATTTTGCCAAGGGGCACCTGGGTGGGTCAGTCAGTTAAGCATCTGCCTTTGGCTCATGTCATGATCGTAGGGTCCTGGGATTGAGCCCCAGGTCGGGTTCCATACTTAGCGCAGAGTCTGCCTGGGATTCTCTCTCTCCCTCTCCCTCTGCTCTTCCCCCTGCTCATAATCTCTCTCTCTTTCTCTCTCTCTCTCTCTCTGAGGTAAATAAATAAAATCTTAAAAAAAAGAAACAAAAGATATGTCTACAGATTCTTTGAAATTCCTCCCTTCAAGAGGTGGAGCTTATTCTTACATTGAGTGTGGGCTAATATTGGATATCCACTTTCTTTTTGGGTGAAGAGCATTCACAGGACCAGATTGGGAACACAGTAGTGAATAAAGACCAGTCAGTGGCCTCATGAAACTAGCTCACTGTTGGATGGAGAACACATGCTAATTGTGAGATGTCTTAGTACAGCAAAGGATGAAATCATCCTTACAGTAGAGAAGTTCAGGGTGCGATGCTAGACACAAGGGGTTCCCAACCCAGACTGCAAGTCAGGAGAAGTTTGCTGGAGCTGTTTACATGTGCTATCTATATGGGTACATATTCCCACTCTAAATTTCTGATCCAGACCTATCTTGATTCCATGTTGCCTTCTTGACTCTTCCACTTCATTGTTTCATGAGCATCTCAAACTTAACATGTTCAAAAAAGTCTTTTGATTCTAGGCCTGCTCTTCACCCAAGCTTCCCTTTTCATAAAGTGGCCCACTTAGGACTTTTGGTCAAGAACCTAGAGACATCCTATATTCCTTCCTTTCCAGAACATCCACATTCAAATCATTGGCAGGTCCTGCCAGTCCCTGCTGTAACATGTAGCAGATCTACTCAGCAGTCTTCCCTTCCTCTGCCACCACTCTAGTCTGGTTCCATTTCTTTTTGTTAGACCTCTGCAATCTCTTCCTTACTGGCTTCTGTTATTGTATGCTCAACGCCCCATCCTCCACAAAGCAGACAGGGATATCTGCTTAATTGGCAAATTGTCATTTCTCTTTGGATAGAATCCAGACTCCATCCCAGGGTCCAAGGCTGTGAACCTCAGCTCATGCCACGCTTCCTCTGATCATCTTGCCCCAGCTGTGCAGACTTTTTTCAAGTCCTTGGTAGTGCTTTACTCTCTCCTACCTACGGCCTTTAAATTTTCAATCAGTTTCCCTATTCTCAAAGGAGCCCCAGTGGCCACAGCCTCCAGCCACTGTGTCTTTTGCAGTTAACTGTTTATTTCCTTCACACCATTTATTTTCTTTAAAGATTTATTTATTTATTTTAGAGAGTGTGTGTGAGCAGGGGGAGGGGCAGAGGGAGAGAGAAAATCTCCAGCAGACTCCCCCACTGAGCGTGGAGTCTGACATGGGGCTCAATCCCACGACCTTGAGATCACGACCTGAGCCGAAATCAAGAGTCCGACACTCAATAGACTGAAACGCCCAGGCGCCCCTCCTTCACACCATTTAGAGAAACTTTTAAAAGCCTGTTATTAGTTTGTTGGGTTTTTTTTTATCTGTCTCTCCTACTAGAGAGGTAAGCAGGACTCATATTGCTGAAGGTCATATTGAGAAGAGACTTGATCCCAAGAGAAATGCAGAACCAGTGAAAATTTTTAAACAAGGGAGAGAATGAAGAATGAAATTATACTTGCAGTAGATCTGGGGCAGAACAGTTTGAAGAGTGAAGAAGTTTGGAGGGTAGCAAGCGAGGGGAGCCCCGTCAGGGTACTATCGGAGAGGTAGATGGGTTTAAGAGATACATAGCATATTGCAGTCTTAGTGATTTTATGTAGAGAGAAAGGGAGAAGGAGAAATCCAGATGATACCCAGGTTTCTGGTTTGGGCAACTGAGTAGATGGATGATGTTGCCTTTGCTGCTATGGGGACACAGAATGAGGAGCACTCTTAGGGGTCAGTATAGGGTCTTCTTGGGATATACTGAGAGTGAGGAGAGAGGTGAGAGTGGAGGAGGTAGCCCACTGAGAGTCAAAATCCCCCCCGCAACATATCTGGCTTAGAGACATAGATGCTTATTCTATACATATCTTTTAAAATATATAAACTAATATTTTTATTAATTGTAATATCAATAAATGGTAGCTGAAAGAGTATTATGCCAAGAATATTAATACTTATTTAAGTTAATTGGGGATGTAAGAAAGCATAGTGATTAAAAGATGTGCTCTGTTGTCAAAGTCAGTAAGAGTCTCAGGTCTGCCCTACTTAGCCATGTACCCTATGAAAGTTGCTCTACCTTTTGGGGCATCAGTTTCTTTATTGGTCAAATGCTATTCTTCCACCTACTCATCATGGTGTTGTGCAGAATAAATGCAACAGTCTGCAAGATGCTTAGCACATGCAAAGTGCTCCGTAATGTTAATTATCATCAATATCACCATTACCCTTTACTTCAAAAATATCTTCCTATACTTTATTTATATGAGAGAAAGAAACTACTAGCCTACTCCACTAAGAATTATTAATTGCCTTTAAAGGTGATTCCAGCTCAAATACATAACATTATGTCATAGAGGGCTAATTCAACTCAGTTATTTTTTTCTGATAATACTTTTTGATAAAACTTTATTTGGGATTAGAACTATAGACATTCTGACTAAATTTACACAGATGTCCACAAAAGGCTATAATTATTTTACAAGCCAAAATCACCCTCCAAGTAGGATATTTGAGTGAGCTGATGTTTCTAGCTTTAAGTATGCAAACTTCAGTAACAAGCTGAGACACAATCAAGAGTGAAAAATGTGGTAGTAGAAAGATGAGACACCTGTTTGACCATGACAGTGTTCAAAGGCTTCTAATAGATCTGTGGTATTACAGTAATGGGGGAAATGACCTGCATTAGATGACATGACTCCCCATTGAAATATTTTGCACCAAAGCAAATAAACTGTACAAACATTTGTGAAGGCAACAGATGATACTCATTCTGAGAAAAACTTCCCATTTTGTAGCTTTGTGCTATTGGAACACTCTGTGAGTTATAATTAACTACTAATGTTCTTCTTAGTTCTTTACTCACTCTATTTGGTATTCTGCCCATCCTCTCTTTTTTTCCTGGATATTCTACTTTAGATATAAACTATACTTTTCTTCTTCTGGGCAAAAAATAAAAAAATAAAGCAGATAGCAGGAAGGAGTGTGTATTTTATTAAGAAGACATGTAACCTTTGACGAGCAATTTTCTTAATCAATTTTGTTCCTAACATTTTTCTGACACTTGTAGAAATTTGAAGGTTCATATATATATGACTGTCAAGAAAGAGTTAAAAGTTCTTCTCCATTTGT